TCACCAAGCAGCCTTTAACAGCATCCAAAGACTTCTGAAGGCTCTCGGCATGATGGGCAATATTTTTAAGTGGCCGCAGCTCATCTTTGAGGCTCTTGACCGTCTGCTCCAGCTCCAGGTTCTTTTTGTTGGCCGCCTCCAACTTGTCTTTGATCTCCAAAGTGGCCTGAGCCTGATAATAAAGAATATCAGTTGTCAAAATTTCATTTTAGGCAATTTGAAACATTGCCTAGTCAAAGTCAGAGGCGGCCATGGCTTTGGCAGCTTTTACCTCTTTGTTTTTGGCGCTGATCGGCCTACGGAGGCCGTGTACACGGAGCATGGTCTAAAAAAGGAGAACCAGGCGTTAGATTTGCAAAAACAGGCGGCAGGCAAAGTCATTCAACATTTTACAAGAAATGCTACGTATACCTCAGAGAGGAGACCCATGATTCCGTCTAAGTCAAGGGTGCCGACTCCCTTGACCACATCCCTCTCCTCTAGAGGGATGGCTTTAACCATAGACTTGGCTATTTGGACCAAGTCTGGTTCTTGAGGGCCGCCTGAATTCAAAGACAAATTTTTAGAATAAGAGAGTGAATATCAAATGAAGAAAAATTTAACAAGGGTCGAAGGAGCCGGTTATACCTCTTGGAGGCCGGTTGTCCCTAGGGACTTGTGTTTGTTTACCCCCACTTTGTGGGGTGTGCGGCTGTTTGCCAGCCGACTATTTTCTGGAAGAGCCACCACGTACTCCCAGCTATCTGTTTCCGAACCTTTGAGTCCGGTTGCTGGGAGGAAGAGGGTTTGGACGAGCCCGCCTGTAGAAGCACAGAAAAGTCAGTACTGGCAAAAAGAGGAGTTCAAAGAGAAACTCGAAAGATCAAAAACTCACTATGGGCGTCTCCTTGGCGGGAGAATCAGAGGAGGCCCGCTTGAGGCTCATTATGGAGGTTCGAAGAAGGGAGGCCGCCTCCTTTGATGCAGAGATTTGATCCATAGCCTCGACTGAAAATAGGTGACAAAGAGTTAGTTAAACTTGAACAAATAAATAAAGTAATGCATGTAGAGGCACAAGAGGCCGGCTACCTCTGGAGGTCCAACTGCTAAGGCCGCAGGCGGCCAAAAAGTACTCATCATATAGCCACTGAAATCTGGGAACACAGTTCAAAGGCACCTGCTCCTGTACCCCAGTAGTAGAGTTTGCCCTTATCTCTACTTTGAAGAGTCCTTGGTCAAGGATCTCCTCCTTGGCCCGGCGAGAAATATGCGGCATACTACGGCCGCCTGCAAGAAGAAGCGGATCCCTGTTCCACCTATTATACCACTTGTTCATGAGTTTATTAGGGCTGGAGACTAGGAGGAAAGTGTTTCTCCAATCCTTCCACTTGTTTTCCTTCCCCCTAGTCATCAGATATCCTTTGTGGCTCGATATCTGCTACCAGCTGGTACCGCTTGCCTTTGGGGTTCGGCTTAAATAATACATATGGGCGAACGCCTCAAAATTCGGCTCCACCCCATGCATTTCACATCTGGCTACATAGCCGAGGATGTTAAACCAGGAATTAGGGGCTAACTGCCATAGCCTCACCTCGTACCCATCGAGGATTTGTTGAACGGCCGGATGCAAGGGAAATCGAAGGTCGGCCTTAATGGCCGCCTCGTAGCATCCAAAACAGGCGTCCCCGTAACTAGTCCCCTCGGGCCAGACGACTGCATATTCAGCATTCGGCACGAATAATTGAAAATCCGGACCCATCACATGGCCCGACAAAAAGGTCTCTATTCGTTCTTTCATGGCCTTAATTCGGCCCTTTGGGACGTGACAGTAATAAGGAGTGTTTAACTCCCTATGGGAGGAAGATGGCTCTGACTAGTCGACCCCTTTTTCGACTGAATGAGAAAGTCTCGCCTCATGAGGGCGAGAATGCCTTTCTTCTGAGCTAAGTGAGAGGCGACTTGAAGAGCTGGCCTCAGACTCACTATCAGAAGAGTTCGACTCCCCTCTCCCTTAGGGGGGCCGACCCCTCTTCTTCAGAAGGGGCCGACTGTTGACCAGCTAAGTCAACTGCGAAATGGGAAGGGGCCACCTTGGCCCCCTCTTCAGAGCTCTCGGTCGCAGAGCCACCTCGGGTCCCGGTGGTGTCAGGCATCTGGTCCGATAGCTCGCTAACTTGAACCCGGAATGAAGATCCATCAGAGTTTTCAACCCTCTTTGTTCTTTTGGTTCTTGCCATACTGTCCTGCATAGATACAAAGACAGTTGGATTCCGGGACTTGCGCAAAGTTTGAAGTACCGCAAAGCAGTTGGCACCCCTAGTCCTAAACTCAGCCATCCCCGGTGACCGGCTGATTGCTAACCTAGGTCATGCCGGATGCTTTTGAGGCCTCATTTTCAAAAAGAAAGAAAAAATGTAAAAGCACAGAAAAAAGGATAAAGGAATAGACGGTTACCTGAAACTTAAGTTCTAAAAGAAAGCTTGATCGAATAGGCGTCTAATAAAAGCAGGCGGTTGGTAAAATCAGTCGTCCAGAAAATCAGAGCTCAAGTTCATGGGTCCGAGAGTTCTCTTGCAAAGTTCGCAAAATGTGAACAAAAGACTTGGTCAACATCCCCTTATATAGGGTAAAATGAGAATACGAAGGGTCACTTCTGGATTCAAAAAATGAGCGGGAAAAAGCTCTCGGCCAATCACAGGACGACACCTGTAGCAGTCCGTCGCCTGTTACAAACCGCCACCTATCACAGGTGACATGCGACCAGTCACGTGCCACCTGTGAGGGGCAAATGATTAGGGGGTTTTCCCCGCCCAATCAGTGTACGCCACGTGGACCAATCAGGTCCTGCGAAGTGTCCTCTATTTGGACCTCTCAAGGCCTGCCACGTGGCACACAACCATTTGTCCATCATGGACCAGTCATGCTACGCCATGTGGCCTACTGATTGCCAACTTGGAGGGAGGCCACCTAGGCCCACTTCCCAAGAGAAGCCCAATCAGCTCTAGGTTGACCTAAACCTAGGATTGGGCACGCTTCCCAAGACTATAAATACACTAATTAATCCTCATTAAAGAGGATTCGGCAATTAATTATTCTCACCTATAGAAGCAAAAACACACTGATCACTCCTCCCCTTGAGGAACCAGATCTCTCACCCTTTACTTTGCCGCACTTATTTACTCCTCAAACAAGTACTAACTTGACCGTCGGAGGCGGAGCTCCCACCACAAGGAGTCTCCGTTGTTTTGCAGGTACAGGCGCAAGGATAGCAGTCCCGGTGTAACTCTCCCGCAGGACATCAGAAAACCCCAAAACAGGTAGCAACACTTTTTCTGACCAGGTCGAACTTAAAGGTCGACCCGTCCTTCAGACCCTTGAAGAAGTCTGTGTAGGCAACTTCGTCACACAACCCTTGAATCTGAATTCTCATCAGATTGAACCGCCTGACATAGGACCTTAGCCCCTCTCTATCCCCCTACTGGATAGCTCCCAAGTCGAGACTTGTCTTTTTGGTGGGGATATTCATAGAGAAGTTGGACGCGAACAAGTATGCAAGCGTCTTAAAATTGTTGATGCATCCGGCTGGCAGATTGCCAAACCATTTTTGGGCTATACCCTTCAATGTTGCTCGGAAGCATCGGCACCAGGCGGTGTCATCCAACCCCTGTAAATACATGAGGTTGGTGTATGCCATTAGATGGTCTTTAGGGTTGGTGGTACCGTCATAGGTACCAACCAACACATTCTTAACCTTGGCCGGCTGAGCCGCCTCGGTTATCTCCCTGGAGAACGCCGACGGCTGTTCTTCAAGGTTTAGCAGCTGAAGCTTCCAGTCAATTGGCTGGACATTCAGTGTCGCGTGACCCCCGAAGAAGGCCGGCTGCATGTATGGTGATCCATATGGCATGTATGGCTATTTAAGCACATACGGAGCCGGCTGGATAATCTGAGGGCCAGTTCGTGCGGTCATGCCGCATGACTGACTCTCTCGGTTTGTTTCCGAATACCTCATTGAAGCATTCGGGAAACTATCTGGGTAAGTCGACGTTGAAGCCAACTCAGACAATTGTTGGCTTCTCTTCTGTTGGATTAACATCCGCTGGATGGCTTTCCTTTTCCCTGCTTCAGGTAAATGGAGTTTTGATAAATCAATCACGGGCCTATCCGTCCCCTTTGGTTTAGGTTGAGGAGTAGGCACACGATCCTTCACGTGCTTCTTCCCAGAGGGAGAAGGCTTCTTGTCCGACTGACCCTTGTTGGTACCAATCGTCCTCTTGTTTATCAGGTCGATTTCCCCTTTGAAACTTGTCATGAATTTCATGAGTTCGTCTCTAGTAACAGGGGCAACACCCTCCACCGCCTAGGGTTGCCCAGCCGTCTTGGCGGTTGGGCTGCTAGGACCAGCTTTGTCTTCGCCCCGTTCTCTTGTTTCCTTAGAACGGGTGCGTCTTGTTCTGAGTGACCCGTCTGAGGCCACATTGGTGTCGACATCGAAGTCGTCACCACTGTCTTGGTCCGTATAGACCTCTACTCCGGCCAAAGGCCGGTTCTCATTGGCAGGCGGTACAGACTGCTGCGAAGCCATCTTAGAAGTAATCTATCCATAGACGGCGCCAAATGTTTCGGGGTTTTTGGAGTCCCTCGGGAGAGTTACAATTCCAAGAATGGATGCCGACCATCTGTACCTGCAAAACCACGGAAAACTCCGGTTGGGTGGAGTTCCGCCTTCGACGATCAAGTTAGAACGTGCTCGGATGTAAAAAGTGCGGATGTAAAGAGCTTCTCTCGGATTCCGAGAGAGAGTATCTGCAATTAATATTGCTCTGTTTTTTGAGAATATTTCTGAATGTGCAATAAATAGAGATCTCTCCCTATTTATAGGGTTTAAGGATCAGCTCCCCTTTCATGACATGGACCGACACGTGTCCTCAGAGGATTGGTTCTTTCAGAACCTCTCTGAGACTAACACGTTTCTACATGCTATTGGTCCACGTGGACCGGGGGTATTTTTACCCTAAATAATGCGTAATTTAAATGGGCAACAACAATTAGGTTTCCAAATTTCTACTCCTCAATCTGAAAATAATCAGGGTCTTGAAAACTGGAAATATGACCATGCTAAGATTAGAGAACTTATGGCTCACATGATTATTGTTCATGAGCTACCATTCATGTTTACAGAATATGAGGTCTTTAATATGTTAATGAGAGCCTTTGCCCCAGAATATGAAAAAGTTTCACGTGTGACTGCGAAAAATAATTGTATGACTAGTTATGACATTAAAAAGAAGAGAACTAAGGGATTGTTAAAACAAGAAAATCGGGTTTTCATACTAACATATGAAGGTCAGATTCACAATAGATAGAGTATATGGCAATAACTTGTCATTTTGTTATTGACTTTCATTTACACAAGAGTCATTAATTTTGTGGATATTCTGCCATCTCACTCCGGAGTTGCGGTTCATGATGCTTTATATAAATGTTTAGTTGAGTGGGAAATTGAGAGTAAATTTACTTGTATAACAGTGAATAATGCAACTTACAATGATGTAGTTGTAAGGGCATTGAAAGATAGCATATCTTGCCAAGCTATTTTACCTTATGGTGGAAAGTTATTTCATGTCCATTGTTGTGCTCATATACTTAACATTTTGGTGCACGATGGGTTAGAAGAGATAGAGGATGTAATATATAAGGTGAGGGAAAGTGTGAAGCATGTGATAGCATCCATAGCTCGACTTAACATCTTTAGTGAAATATGTAAACAACTAAAGTTACCTGGTAGAAGGTTAGTTCTTGATTGTTGTACTAGGTGGAATGCAACCTACCATATGTTATCTGTTGCATTCGAGTTTAGGGTGTGTTTCGAAGGTACAAGAATAGAGAGCCAAGTTACAATCTTTTGCCATCTGATGAAGAGTGGAAGAAAGTTGAAGTTGTTTGCACTTTCTCATCACTATTTAACCAAGCTACTGAAATAATTTCAGGTAATAAAAATTTGCCTTTTTTTACATAATTATATCAAAGCTATAACATATTGATTAACATCACATTTAAATGCAGGAAGTGAGTATCCAACTTCAAACTTATTTTTGCCAGAACTTACCAACATTAAGGAAGCTTTGGAGAGTCAAGTTGAAAGTGACTATGATTTTATGAGGGCAATGGCTCAAAGGATGAAGGTTAAATTTGATAAATACTGGGGAAATTGTAATTTGATTATATCTGTTGCAGCTGCATTAGATCTTAGAAATAAATTAAAATTAATTGAGAGGTCTTTTTCTACAATTTACACGGAGGATGAAATGGCAACACATACAAAAAATATGTGCGGGACACTTTGTATGAGATCTACTTGGAGTATGTTGAAGCTCATTCTTTGAATAATGCTCAAAAAACTGCTCATGAGAATGATGAGGATTATAGTGTTGCTATAAATGTGGGCTCTTGTAATACCGAAAAAAAAAAAAGTTTTACAAAAGGGTAGGAAGAGATTTAATAGCTTTATTAGGAGTGGCTACAACACATTTAAGTGCATAAAAATCAGAACTTGATGTCTATTTAGAAGAAATTGTTGTCATTTGTGATGAAGAGTCTGGTGATTTTGATACACTACAATGATGGAAGGCTAACAACTTGAAGTTTCGTATTTTATTAAAGATGGCATGTGACATCCTTGCTATTTCTGTAACTTCGGTTGCTTCATAATCCACCTTTAGTGCTGGTGGTAGAGTCATAGATTCTTATAGAGCATCCTTAGGAACATATACTGTCCAAATGCTAATGTGCACCGAAGATTGGCTAAGGAGCTTTTTTGGAATCAAGAGGAAACAAAAGGTATGGAAGAATTTTATATACTAAATTACTATACGTATAGGATTCTTTCAGGTAAATAAATTTAAAAGATTGAAAACTTGAAATGAATTAATGCTATTTTTTTTGGAAGATTATTGAAGAGTTCAAGGTCATCGATTTACCATGAAAGTGATTAATTTCTACATAAGAGGTAATTAATAGCTTGAGTATTATATATACTAATGAGTATTATTATTTTCTAACTAATTAAAGAAAAATTTGTTAATTATTACCTCAAAAAAGAGGCATTTGTCAATTACTACCCCTAAAAAAAAGTTGTTAATTACTACCTCTAAAATTGATTAATTGTACCGATTACTATCTTTTCCCATTTTTCGGTCACTTAAGCTTACTAATGACATCATTTCCCAGTCAAATCTTAATTAGTGACTTTTAAATCCTAATTAATTAAATAAACCCTAAATTACCATCTTTCCACCTCTACACCACCATTGCTCCACCTCCTGCAGCCCGTTTACTGAATTCCCACCACTAGAAATTCCCCCCTTCCCCAGCCCCACCACCGCAAACCCTCCCTCTACCTTTCCCCCACCGCAAAACCCGTCCCCTTCCCTTGCCCAACCTTGATTACCGCCCCTCCACGACTCCACGTTCCCCCAACCCCTGAAAACCGCCTTATTACCATCCATAACCTTTGATTACCGCTCCCCCCTTTCCCCAAACCCCCGAAAACATCCCCACCTTTTCCCCAGCCCCCGATAACCACCCCTTCCCCTTCACTAGCCCCATTAATTGCCCTCCACCCCTTCTCCAACCCCAAAATCTCATTCCCTTGCATCCATGCTATTCGGTGGTGGAGAAGGGATGGGCCATGGTGTTCACGGGGGGAGGGATTTGGGTTTGTGGTGCACGACGAGGGAGGCGGGTTTCCGCCGGGGGAGGAGGAAGTTCGGTTAGTGGTGGATGCTCATTGGAGAAGGGGGATAAGGTTTTTTTAATTATAAATTAGGATTAATTAGGAATAAAATTATTTAATTAGGGTTAAGATGACAAATGACGTCATTTATGAGTTAATTAGCCGAAAAATCCACTTAGGTAGTAATCGGTACAATTTATCACAATTAGGGGTAGTAATTAACAACTTTTTTTTTAGGGGTAGTATTTCACAAAGCCTCCCTTTTTGAGGTAGTAATTGACAAATTTTCCCTAACTAAATGATGCTTTATACTAACTTCCTTATTGTTTCTCTTACTGTGCATGTATTTTTCTCCAAACCATAAGAGGACGAGAAGTCAAGGAAGTAGAAAATCACAAGCAAAAATGAATAAGATGCGATATCTCAAAGACACAAAGTGCTTTTAAGTGAAATATAGCTAGCTTGATAATATAAATTGATCATTAATAATTTTTTTAAAATTATTAACATTACAATTGTTAATTTAATTTTTTATGATTATAGTTGAGATTTTCGAATGTCAAAAATACAAAGCTCGTTTATTATTAAGCTCGTTTATGAAAAATACTCGTTTGATAAACGAGTCGTTCACGAACCGCTCGCGAACATATAGTTTACTAAATGAGCTGAGCTTGAACAGATTTTTGAGCTCGCTTGAAAGCTCGGGATCATGCTCGGACTCGCCTAAATTAAATGAGCTTGAACATGAATAAGGTAGTACTCGACTCGGCTCATTTACACCCCTAATTAGTATTTTGTTTGCTTATATGTATATGTTGTTGTTTAATATCATAATAATGATGTTTTATATCATTATAATGATGGCTGATATATTAATTCTGTTGCTTGATATCATCATAATGATGGTTGATAATATGTTGGCTGATATGTTTTCTTTGTTGGTATATATTCTTTTTCTGTTGGCTTAAATGTTTCTTAATTTTTCTAATATGTTTCTGTTGTTGGCTTATGTGTTTCTTATTTTTTCTTATAAGATCATTTTGTTGGCTTATATCTGTATATGGTTGGCTTATATGTATTTTTTGTTTACTGATATCATCATACTGATGGCTAATATCATTATAATGACGGCTAATACATTAATTTTGTTACCTGATATGATCATAATGATGACAGATATGATCATAATGTTGGCTGATATTAATTTAATATGTTTTTGCTGTTGGCTAAAATGTTTTATTTGTTGCATGATATCATTTTATTGGCTAATATGTTTATTTTTTGTTGGTTAATGTTCTTCTTATGTTGTCTTAAATGTTTCTTATGTTGTCTAATATGTTTGTGTTGTTGGCTTATATGTTCTTGTATTGGCTGATGACATTATTTTGTTGGCTTATATTAGTAGTTTATTGTCTAATATCATCATAATGATGGATTATATCATCATAATGATAGCTAATATATTTATTATGTTGCATGATATCATCATAATAATGGTTGATCATATACTTATATGTTGGCTGATATGTTTTTTTTTTGTCTGACATGTTTTCTTTCTTGGCTAATGATAATTTTATTTTTTTTTACTTATACTTTACTTTTTTTTTAGTAAAAGTACTGGTGATGTTTCCAAAGTTGGAAAGAAAAGAAAAATTGAGAAAGAACGATTTGATTTTAGGTATATTTTTTTTCTTATTCCTTATTCAAAATGCAATTGTGTTGTTCTGTTTTTAATTAACATTTCTTTTTCTTATTCTTTTTGCGGCAATATTACAAAAGATGACATGTGAGATATTTCTATTGGAAGTCAAACTAGTGTTTCATCTATTACCAACATGGTCATTTTTTTTATCTACCAAACAAAGAGCTGCTGTTGACAATATTGGTTATGGTGGTTTATTGAAAATGAATCTATCTGAAGACCTCAAAAGAACATTGCATCCATTAAAAGTATAGCCTCAATCAATTTCTTGCAATGATACTCAGATTTAGAGCTTTGAAATATTCACATTCAGATCCAAGACCAAAAAACAAAAACACAAAAAACAAAAATGAAAGAAAACTGGAAAAAAAAATCAGTGAGGCATTTCGTCGAATACCTTGTAAGCAGTCACAATTCTTAGCTTCTTTGCGTACAACATCAAGAACATAATCAATCAATCACCCACATCACAAAAAGATTCAAACAACCAAATTCAATAAATTCACAATCAAATTAGTAAAATAGAAAAACAAAGATAAAAAGAGAAACCTCCAGAATTCTTCAACAGTAGAGAAAATATAAATGGGTCGAATAGAGCTACCCCAAGCAGCTTGTTTCGATTTAGCAGTAAGATTATCAAACCAAAAAGTCCAAGCATTCTCAAGAGGATGAGTTGTTGCGATTGATTTGCTGGGTTTTTCAGCGTTTGAGTTGTCATCGATAATCTCGCCTTCCTCCAAATCATCATCGTCTTTTCTCTGGTCTTCAATCTCAGTTGTCGCCATTGATTTCTCAAGCTCTTCTACTGCCATAATATTGCTTCTCTCTGTAAAATCTTTCAAATTTGTTGTGATTTTCGATTTTATGAGGAAGGATGAACTTGAACGAGGAGAGAGAAAATTTTGCGTGAAAGAGGAAGGAGGAGAGAGAAAAAACGCATTTGACCTGGATTAATTGTGGCCGTTGGATCTAATAGATCCAACGGTTATAATGAGTCCTCAAATAAGGGATGTGGTCTCATATATATGTATATATGACCAGGTTATAATGAGAACCAATCCTATAATAGGAACTAGGAACTAATCTGGACTGTCAGATCTAACACGCGATCTAACAGCCCAAATTAAATCAGCGATTTTCACTTTCATGAGTTTCTCTCTCTTCTCCTCCGCGATTTTCTTTCTCCTCAAGCATTTTCTCTCTCCTCCATTGCAACGAATCCTCTGAATTCTCCATTGAAGCGGCTTTCGAGCTATCTCTACTCCAATGAAGCAGCTTCTGAGGTAAGATGTTTGTTTTTTCTTAATTTTTTAAAAAAAATTAAATCACGAATTTCAATTTCATTGGTTTTATCGTTAATTATTTTTGTCAATTTAGGGTTCTTTTTATCTGGATTTATAAAATTTGATAATGTTTGAAGTTTATTGTGCTTGAATTAGGTATAATTTGATAGTGATAAACAAAACTATATTTTTTTTTGGTGAATTTAGAATCTCGAAGCAGCGCGAAACTTCTGAGTGTTGCGTATGATTTTGTTTGATTTTCAGTAAAAGTACTTATTCATTTTATGAATTGTAGAGTTTAATATGTGCAAATCTTTTCTTATCTTGTGGATGATTTATTGTGAATACAGAAAAATGTTGTAAACTAATTTTAAACTCAAAGCCTCGATAAATACTTGAAATTATTGATTTGTGTGTTTGATTGTCCAATTTTGATACTCCATTGAAGCAGTTTCTGATGTTTGATTATACTATTTCTGGTTTTTCTTTAATTTTAAATCAATTGCAATTCAATTAGATTAAAAGGTGTTAAAGTAAACTAAAATTGTGCAAAAGTAAACTATATATATTTGGATCCTACTTTGGCTACACAGTATAGTTTATCTGATGTAATTTGAATTGATTGAAGTTAGTAATTTTTTTAATGCATTTAACACAGCATTTACAACTGGAAGTAGCTCTGGAGGTGATAGGGAAATACTAGTGCAGCACCTGCTTGTCAAAGAAAATGATCTTAACCTTTTAGTGGAGCTTCAAAAAAGGGTTGCAGGAGGTATACTTTTGCTGAAATTGTATCAAGTGATTGTGTATGCAGACATGATTGATGGGTTTATGCTAATTTCTGCTGTTGAATGTCAGGGGAGGATTTAAGTGATCTTGCTGTGGAATACCCTATATGCCCATCAAAAGAAGAGGGCGGGGTGCTTGGCTGGGTCAGAAAAGGACAAATGGTATGCTGGTTCTTTAGGCAGTTGTTTCTTGGATTGTTTTCAATTTGTTGTGATAGGATGTTATATATCTTGCTCAAGAAATTTAAAATTGTCTCCTTAGCCCTATTATCACCCTGTGTTGTTTGAAAGTCATTGGTACTTTTCTATTTGAAGAAAAAAAATTCATGTTTTCGGATGTTTTAGTTTGGATAAAGCTTTCTATGTTTCCGAATGTTCTTGTTTGGAGAAAGCTTTTTATGTTTCTGAAAGTGAGCTGATTTGAAGCATCATTCTCATACCAAGTACCAGAATTTGAAGAGGCTGCATTTTCTGCACCATTAGTCAAAGTTGTAAGATGTAAAACAAAGTTTGGATGGCACTTGCTTCAAGTCATATCCGAGAGGTTAGTTCATTTCAGATTTACTTGTTTAGGTCTGAAAGGTAACTGATTTACATTCTTGATTATGTACCTTTTTATTGGCAACATTGCTTTAGGGAAGGGGTGTTGCTTGGTGAAGTTCAACCAAGTGAGTTGAATGAGAAACTTCAAGATCCCAATTTCACAGAAACAGCACAACTGATCGATGTCCGAGAGCCAAAAGAAATGTATGTCTTTTTTCTGCTGCTTTTTTAGATGGTTCTATGCATTACTGATATGTAAGTGGATTAGGATCGTTTTGGAGTGGGCTAGTTCAATTAGAATCAAGTTCGTCACAAAAGAAAACAAGATAAACACTCAATGTAGAAGCGGGTTCTAAATTGCGTGTGTGGTGGATAAACTTGACCAAACACAAAGTAAGGCTAGATTATCAAGCTTATACTAACTAAACACTAAGTAAAGAAAGTATAAGTTCGTGAAACACAAAGTAACACAAGAAATTCACAAAGAAAATCAGATTTTGTTGTTTTTAATCACTCTTGCCTAAAACGAATGGCAAGTGTTCTATTTATAGGAAGCTTTACAATCCTTAAAGGAACTCTTCAACTTCCTAACTTACATGCCTAAAACAGAAGAAACAAGCTTCAATAAAAGCTTTGTAACTCCTTTTACATGCTTAAAAACAAAACTAAAAGCTAGGCATGATTCAAGCCTAGAATCACGCCTTTACTAGGCCACGAAAATGGCTGTTTATTTGAGGCCTTAATGGCAGCTATTACATGCATTCTTTGACAGAAAAATAACCCCCTAATCAAAGCTTTAAATGACTAAAACAAACAGCAAACAACTCATAATCATTCCCCACAAAAATCGCCATGAACCAAGCTTGTAACCCCCACTTAAATGTGGCTGTTTAATTGTGGCTGTTTGAAACTCCTTGTGGCTGTTTGAAAGTCTTCTTGGATGCTCCTTTAACTGGTTACTTTGTCCCCTTTGTCCTCTTCCCATTTAAGGCAAGAAACAAAAGGATTCTTGGAAGAGAATCCCACGAAATTAGCATCCAAAGACTTGGACTTTTCGTGGATGAACAAAGCATGGACCGTAGCTTGAACTTCTTGGACTTTAGTTTGAACTTGATTGCTTGCTGCCATATCATTCTCCCCCTCTTCGAAAAAGTTTGCCCTCAAACTTTCATCATCTAGATATGGACTCAAGTCTCCCACATTGAAAGTTGCACTTGCTCCACCAAATTCACTAGGTAGATCAATCTTGTAAGCACTTTCCCCAATTTTCTCCAAGACTTGAAAGGGACCATCGGACCTAGGCATGAGCTTGTTTTTCCTTAGGTTAGGAAAACGTTCTTTCCTTAAGTGTAACCAAACCAAGTCACCCTTAGCAAATGTAGGTTGTTTTCGGTTCTTATTTGCACGGTCTTTGTAGACTTTGTTCATAGCCTCAATCTTCTCTTTGACTTTGGTGCATGTTTTCTGAAATGCTTCCCATCTCTTCTTAGGTTCACCATGTATCAAGTCTCCTTTAGGCAAAGGAATTAACTCAATAGGTAGTAAAGGATTAATCCCATACACCACTTCAAAAGGACTACGAGTAGTGGTTGATGAAGGGGACCTATTGTAAGCAAATTCGGCATGGGCTAACTTAACATCCCAATCCTTTTGAGTTCTACTCACTAGACTACGTAACAAAGCACCAAGGGTTCTATTAGTCACTTCCGTTTGACCATCCGTTTGTGGATGATGAGAAGTACTAAATAAGAGCTTAGTACCCACCAATTTCCACAAGATTCTCCAAAAATGACTAAGGAACTTAGTGTCCCTATCCGAAACAATGGTCCTTGGAACCCCATGTAAACGAATGATTTCTCTAAAGTATAAATCAGCAACTTTAGAAGCATCATCCGTTTTGTGGCATGGAACAAAATGAGCCATTTTAGAAAAACGGTCCACTACCACCATGATACTATCTTTCCCCCTTTGAGTCCTAGGAAGACCCACAATAAAATCCATGCTCACTCCTTCCCATGGAACATTAGGAACGGGTAATGGAGTGTAAAGACCTTTGTGAAAAGTACTCTTGGATTTTTGACAAGTAGAGCACCTTTCCACAACATGAGTCACGTCCTTCACCATATGAGGCCAATAGAAATGTTCTTGAAGCATCTCCAATGTCTTATGTATGCCGAAATGACCAGCAATCCCTCCCCCATGGATTTCACGAACCAAAAGCTCACGCACACCATTCTTAGGCACACAAAGTTTGTTGCCTTTGAACAAAAACCCATCTTGAACCGTATAGTCTTGAGTAGGTTTCTTGAATTTTCCCGAAAAATCCTCATCTTCTTCATAGTGACCTTTCAAGTGTTCAAACCCAAGAATCTTCGTATGCACCATAGCTAAGAGATAGCTTCTTCTTGACAAAGCATCCGCCACCACATTCTTCTTGCCCTCCTTATACCTTGAACTAAATGTAAAAGATTGAAGAAATTCAACCCATTTAGCATGTCGGTAATTAAGTTTCTGTTGGCCATGAATGAATTTTAAGGCTTCATGATCCGAATGTAGAACAAACGGTTTAGGCCTTAAGTAATGTGACCAATGATCAAGAGCTCGAACAATGGCATAGAATTCACGATCATAGTTTGAATAATTAAGCTTAGCACCACTTAATTTTTCACTAAAGTAACAAATTGGTCTTCTTCCTTGTATAAGAACCGCACCAATGCCCACGCCACTTGCATCACACTCAACCTCAAACAACTTATCAAAATCTGGTAATGCAAGAACCGTAGTGTTGCACAACTTTTCCTTGATTTCATCAAAAGCTTTTTGGGCAGCTTCACTCCATTGAAATGCACCTTTCTTCAACAATTCGGTCAAAGGAGCCGTGATGGATGAAAAGTTCTTGATGAAAATTCTGTAAAATGAAGCAAGACCATGAAAACTTCTTACTTCATGCACATCTTTCGGCACCTTCCATGTTGCAATAGCCTTGACTTTCTCGGGATCAACCTGTACACCTTCACTAGATACAACATAGCCTAGGAAAGTAATATGGTTACACATGAAAGCACACTTTTCTAATTTACCATACAATTTGTTATCCCTCAAAACCCCAAATAAAGATCTTAAGTGAAACAAATGTTCATCTATGGATTTGCTATATACTAGAATATCATCTAAATATACAACAATGAATTTGTTTAGAAAAGGACGCAATACCTCAGTCATGAGTCTCATAAACGAACTAGGAGCATTGCAAAGACCAAATGGCATGACAAGCCATTCGTACAAGCCTTGCTTAGTCTTGAAAGCTGTTTTCCACTCATCTCCCTCACGAATTCGCATTTGATGATAACCACTTCTCAAATCAATTTTACTGAAAATTTTGGCTCCACTCAACTCATCAAACATGTCTTGAAGCCTTGGCATAGGAAATCTGTATTTGATAGTAATGTTATTGACGGCACGACTATCAATACACATCCTCCAAGTTCCCTCTTTCTTAGGCACCAAAAGAGCAGGAACGGCACATGGACTAAGGCTTTCACGTACATAACCTCTTTCCATAAGTTCTTCTACTTGTCTTTGCAATTCCTTGGCTTGATCGGGGCTACACCTATAGGCTGGTTTGTTAGGCAATTGAGCTCCCGGAATCAAGTCAATAGCATGTTCAATACCTCGCAATGGAGGTAATCCTTGTGGTAAATCACTAGGAAAAACATCAGAAAATTCTTCTAGCAATTCCTTCAAAGACGGTGAGTTAGTAACATAGGAATAGGTATCATCAACAGGTTTAACAACAAGTAAAAACCCTTCCCCTTCCATAGCAAATTCACGCTCAAACTCACTCTTAGAAACCAAATAGTTAGGTTTCTTTTCCACCATAGGTTCAACCTTTGGAGGTAAAGGAAGTAACCTGATTTTCTTTCCCCCATGATTAGTGACCGTATAGACATTAGAAACACCATCATGCAAAGCACTTCGATCAAATTGCCATGGTCTACCAAGCAATATATGACACGCACTCATAGGCAAAACATCACACCAACGTTCATCATGAAAATTTCCAATTGTAAAAGAAACTAGTGCTTGTTTCTTAACTTTCAAACCGGTTTCGTTATCTAACCAATTTAACTTGTAAGGTTTAGCATGCTCACGAGTGGGTAATTTAAGCTTGCTTACAAGTTCAGTAGAGGCCACATCCGTACAAGAACCACCATCTACAATCACATCACAAATCTTGTCCCGTACCTTGCACCTCGTATGGAAAAGATTCTCTCTTTGTTGCACATCCTTGAGAGGCTCGGAATGTAGGATCCTTCTTACAACACCACACAATGGAGTGGCGTTTTCTTCAGCCCCATACTCCTCATATTCCTCTTCCTCTTCCTCATTTTCCTCGGAATCATACCCTCCTTCATGGATGGTGAGTGTGTTCCGTTTTGGACACTCACTAGCAATATGTCCTTTCTCATGGCATTTGTAACACGTCCTCTTGGGGATTTCTTGCTTGGAATCCGTTTTTTCCTCCATAACCTTTGGACGAGTTAGGAGTAAAAGTGGATTTAGAAGCAACCTCGCCTTTTCCCATGGAAGAAAAAGCTTTGTAAGGAAGCCTAGATGTAGGTCTTGGCTTATCTTCTTTGTGTTGTGCCTCAACCTTTCTAGCAGCCTTCACAACCTCTTCATAGGTGGAATAAGGTAGGAGATCCACCTTATTAGAGATTGGTTTAGACAACCCTTTAGTGAAACGGGCAATTTTGAGTGGTTCCTTCTCTTGCATATCACACACCAAACTGAGTTTCTCAAACTCTCGCACATAGTCATCAACACTTCGTTCACCTTGAGCTAGGCGAGTCAATTTGACATATTGATCTTGCACATACTCATGTGGAACCCAACGTTGTTCCATCTTCTTCTTGAGTTTCATCCATGACTCAATCTTATCTTTTCCTTCTCTTCTCCTCTTGGCCTTTAGATTATCATACCAAAGCCCAGCAAGCTTGGTTAACTTAAGAACCGCCATTTTACAACTCCTAGCATCATCATACTCCTTATACTCAAAGATACTCTCCATCCTACGTACCCAATCAAAAAAAACTTCCGGATCACTAGAACCATCAAAGTCGGGAAGGTCTAGCTTGACACTTCTATCATCTTGGTGACCACGGAATTGTGATTCACCTTGGGTGGGTGTGGAATTTTCTAATTCCTCTAACCTTCTACCTTGTCTAAGGCATAGGTCCGCAATGGCATCCATCCTTGTTTCATGCTTTTTCATTTCGTCATGCATTTCTTGGAGTTTTCCAAGAATGTCTTTCATCACTTCGTGAGATGGTGAGTTGGATGAACCTGGAGTCATTCTCCAAGGCCTTGCTCTGATACCAACTGATATGTAAGTGGATTAGGATCGTTTTGGAGTGGGCTAGTTCAATTAGAATCAAGTTCGTCACAAAAGAAAACAAGATAAACACTCAATGTAGAAGCGGGTTCTAAATTGCGTGTGTGGTGGATAAACTTGACCAAACACAAAGTAAGGCTAGATTATCAAGCTTATACTAACTAAACACTAAGTAAAGAAAGTATAAGTTCGTGAAACACAAAGTAACACAAGAAATTCACAAAGAAAATCAGATTTTGTTGTTTTTAATCACTCTTGCCTAAAACGAATGGCAAGTGTTCTATTTATAGGAAGCTTTACAATCCTTAAAGGAACTCTTCAACTTCCTAACTTACATGCCTAAAACAGAAGAAACAAGCTTCAATAAAAGCTTTGTAACTCCTTTTACATGCTTAAAAACAAAACTAAAAGCTAGGCATGATTCAAGCCTAGAATCACGCCTTTACTAGGCCACGAAAATGGCTGTTTATTTGAGGCCTTAATGGCAGCTATTACATGCATTCTTTGACAGAAAAATAACCCCCTAATCAAAGCTTTAAATGACTAAAACAAACAGCAAACAACTCATAATCATTCCCCACAAAAATCGCCATGAACCAAGCTTGTAACCCCCACTTAAATGTGGCTGTTTAATTGTGGCTGTTTGAAACTCCTTGTGGCTGTTTGAAAGTCTTCTTGGATGCTCCTTTAACTGGTTACTTTGTCCCCTTTGTCCTCTTCCCATTTAAGGCAAGAAACAAAAGGATTCTTGGAAGAGAATCCCACGAAATTAGCATCCAAAGACTTGGACTTTTCGTGGATGAACAAAGCATGGACCGTAGCTTGAACTTCTTGGACTTTAGTTTGAACTTGATTGCTTGCTGCCATATCAATTACAGTTCGATCAATATCTCTTGTTCTCTGAGTTGCTTGTTATTATTAAAATGCCCAATAAACCTTGTCATCGACTGCTTTTACTTATATACATTTCTAAATTTATGATGTTGGTAAAACACAAAAACGAAGGTATTTACTTGGCCACTGTAAAATGTGAGGCAGTTATGTGTTGAAATTTAAAACTTGAACCTGTGTGGTGAAACTTCTTTTCAGAAAGAGGGGTAATGGGGATCTTGAGTTGAGCTCATCGTTGTCAAAATCGCGATCCGGATCGTAGGATCGTGCGATCCTACGATCCCATTTTAGCCAAACGATTCGGATCGGATGCAGAATCGCAGAGTAAGCAGGATCGTTGTAGGATTGGTCAGGATCGTACATGATCGGGTGGGATCGGACGATCCTGTTTTTCATTTAAACTATTATTAGTTTGTACAGAATCGTGCAGGATCGGTCAGAATCGAGTAGGATCGGTCAAGATCGTACGATCTTACTTTTTACTTTTTACTTATTAAAATGAGCCTAATGTAATCAAACTTTTCTCTAAGCTAAGAAAATTACTATCCAACTACTAAAACTATAAATTTTACCATTTTTATGGCTTAAAAAATGTTATCTAATTGTGTAACAACCCTTTTATTACTATTTTTATCAATTTTGTAGAATCTTACGATTCTACGATCCGATTTTGTCGATTCGATCCTACTCCTCTCACTGATTCAAAGTAGGATCCCGATCCTGATAAAACCTTGGTTGAGCTTCTAAGCTCCAAAAATAGATCAAGTCACAAAGTACCGGGAGGCTTTTACGATGAATTGTTTGTATATTAGGATGGTTGTAATTTACAAATTGGATCCCTAGTCTAGGCCATTTAGGATTTTAGGACAGGGCAGCTTTAGAATGCCAATATTTTAAATTATTGTCCATACACTTTACTGTATCCAAACACATCAGATTAGCTCATGCGGTTTTTGGTGTGAAAAAAGTAAATAAAAAAGAGTCTAAAGTGAATAAAAAAGACTTTAAAGTAAACCTATTAGCTCAAGTGGTAGAGCACTATGCGCATGCATAGAGATATAGGTTCGATTCCTACATAGGTTATCTTAAAAAGTAATTACACAACACTCTAAAGTTATTCAATATATCTCAAAAGTAAATCAAAATATCTCAAAAGTAGAAAAACTAAAAAAATATAAATTAATACAGTATATGTCAAAAGTAAATCGTAATTACTCTGAAGTAAACAAATAATGCTAAAAAGTAAATCAAAATATCATTAAAGTAAATCAGATCAGCTCTAAAGTATATGAATAATAAAATATCTTGAAATGATAAATGACTAAAGAAACTTTAATTAGCTAAAATGGTATAGCACTATGCGGATGTATAGAAGTGTAGGTTCGATTCCTACATAGGTTATCTTAAAAAGTAATTACAAAACACTCTAAAGTAATTCAAAACATCTCAAAAGTATATCAAAGTAGCTAAAAAGTAAATCAAAAGTAAATAATATTAACTCAAAAGTAAATAGTATTTACTTAAAAGTAAATTATATCTACTCACAACTATTCAGTCTAGGGTGCACATTGCTAAGAAGAAAAAGCAGGGTATTAGTTTACCAACATGTTTATATCTTTAATCCTTAGATAAGTGACCTTGAGTTTCTAGTAATAAAAGAAGATACAAAATAAGTTAAAGTAAATAAAACATTTATTAAAGTAAATAGAAATGAAATTCACCTTTTCTACTTCTAAAATAAGGAATTTGCTATGAAGAAATGCTTATTGACAATCTCTAATTGCTATGAATGCTTAAATATCTAGTATAAGTGATAGAACCTTCTGTCATACCTTTAATCTTTGGATAAGTGAGCTTGAGTTTGTAAGTAATAAAAGTAGATACAAAATAAGTTGAAGTAAATAAAATATCTCTTAAAGTAAATACAAATGAACCAACGTGGGATTCGAACCCACATCTTTTGTGTATTTGCACAATGCTCTACCTCTTGAGCTAGTAGACTAGTGTATATAAAGTTGACAATAATAAAATGAGCAAAGACAACATCAGCAACTTCAAAATCAGTTGCTAAGACCAGATGAAATAAGTTAAAATAAATAAAATAAGTTAAAGTAAATAAAATATTTATTAAAGTAAATTGAAATGAAATTCACCTTCTCTACTTCTAAAATCAGGAAATTGCTATGAAGAAATGCTTATTGACAGTCTCTAATTGCTATGAATGCTTAAATACGTAGTATAAGATTATAAAACCTTCTGTCATACTTTTAATCCTTGGATAAGTGAGCTTGAGTTTCTAAGTAGTAAAAGTAGATACAAAATAAGTTTAAGTAAATAAAATATTTCTTAAAGTAAATACAAATGAACCTACGTGGGATTCGAACCCACATCCTTTGTGCATTTGCATAATGCTTTACCAATTAAGCAAATAGGTTAGTGTTTCGGGGTTTTCTGCCTGCGGGAGAGTTACAATTCTGAGACTGAGCTGCCGATGCCTGTACCTGCAAGATCACGAAGACTCCGGTGGATAGGAGCTCCGCCTCTGACGATCAAGTTAGTATACGTACAGGAGGAAAAAGTACGGAAAAGGTAAAGTACTTCTCGCAGATTGGGAGAATTCCGCAATTAATATTGATCGGTAATTGTGTTTGTATTTATGAATGCCCCATTAATGAGGTTTGTCCCACTATTTATAGTGGGACAGACAAGTCCCCCATGAAGGGTTCCAAGGACACGTGACAACTGGAGCCCTATTGACCAATGGCGATACGCCACGTGTCACCGGCCCATTGGGCCACGTGTCTAGGGTATTTTTACCCTAAACATTTGCCCCTCACAGGTGCTGACGTGGCTGTGCCACGTGGCACCTGTGAAGATCCCCTTCTTTTTTTTTTTTTTTTTGAATCTCTTGGCCTCTGGCTGTTTGGGTGAAAAGGCGGGAGAAGCAGAAGGTGAAGAGTCAGGACTCTTCGCCTTCTGAGGAGGAGCCTATAAATAGCCAAGTCCCCTCCCCAAGCCCTCATTTACAAACTTGGAAAATTTTCTGATTTTCGAGAGCAGTCGGTGTTGAGAGCTTTTCTGAGATAGTTTCCGTGTGCGCATCCGGTTTATAACCGTCTGGGGGGTTTGATAGCAAGCTGAATTTGCATCTGCACTTCAAACAACACATCCGGCTCAAGAGACGCCTGTGTCTTCGCAAGCAAACTCAAGAAATTCCCAGTGACCAAGCGGTTTTCTCCCTCTTTCTTTTAGGTACCGCCTCTATTCTTTCAAGCTCTTCCATGTATTTACGCTTGAGTTTTTTGTTTGTTTTCTCATTTATTTGTCCCATAGTTAGATGGACCCTTTATACCCCCATCCGGGACATAATAATGAGACCAGCCGGTCCGTTAGTACGGCTGAGTCTAGGATTGGAAATACCGCCTATAGACTCTGGGATTTGCCTTGTTTGTCTCCCAATCCGACCGTCTCCGTGTCTGTGCAGGACACAATGGCCAGAACCAGGAAGACGACTGTGGATCCCAATTACAGAGGCGGGGGCTCTGACGAGTTACCGCCTGATGAGAGGGCCCTAACTGAGGCGGCCATGGGATCTCTTGGAGGTGCCCCTAGTACGCCTAGTAATGGCATTCTAGGCTCTGATCAGGGAGGCGGTGAGGAAGCCACCTCTGTTTCTGATATGGGGGAGCGAAAAAACTCATCCCAGGAGGCCTCCTCCTCTGCTTCCGGCTCTGCACTTGGACCTGTGGAGAGCAGCTCTAGCTATCTAACACCATCCGTCAATAGTGAGGAGGAGGAGAGACCCTCCTGGCAAACTAAGGGTGATCCTTTGATGATCACCGTCTCTGCCAATGATAGGGCCATTATGCGGAATAACTTGGCAGATTTCGTCCTCAAATGGCCCCTTGGGGCTGGATATAGACTGGCGGTCCCTCTTGAGAAGGGGACAATTGCCTGGGAGGATGACCAGCGCAACGCAAACGACTGATTTGGCTGCTACGAGGCGGCATTCTTGGCGGGGCTCCGCTTCCCTCTTCATGACACAATAAAGGCCATACTCAGGGGGTATG